TGAGGAGGCTTCCAGGCCCTGGGCCTCCCCCACGCGTCACGAGAACACCTCGCAGGCCCTGGGCTCTCGGCACCCATGGTCCAGATCCACCTGCAGACCTGCTGCTGCCGCTGGAAGGCCACCCCCCTTCTGTTCAACTAGACAACAACTCATTTGACTCTGACACGGGGTGGGCACAAGGGCCCCCCTCATGAGCATGTGTCAGGGGGTCCCCCATCCCCACCCCGAGGAGGCAAGTCTGCAGGGTCCAGGTGACAGTGGAGGGTCACTGAACCCATCCTTTAAGGCTCAGTTCTAGGACCAGAGTAGTATCATCCTCGAGACACAGATGAGGCTTCGAGGTGCAGTAAGCTGTCACCTCACACGCGCTGCACAGTTTACACATCACCACACTCCCTCCTCCCTCAACCCAAGGGCGGCAACGGCTTCCCACTTTGCAGATGAGAAAACAGAGGTCCACAGGGGTCCTGGAACTCGAGCAGGGTCGTAGGCTTCCAATTCCTTGTGCTGATGACAAGGACAAACACAGCACAGAAAATCCCCATGGGTGCAAAACACAGACGATGAGCAGGAGAGGATTTCCTTGCTAATCGCGCTGCCCCGGGAACGATACGAAACCAAGTGTGTGTCCTAAGAACTCAGAGGCCGGGCCATGGGTACGGGGTCTGCTGGGGCCACAACAGCAGAGGGAAACCAGCCTGGCAGGGAAGCGAGGGAATGAAAAATATAAGTGAGGAGGGACTCCGTGCGCGGAAGCCTGCGCTTTCCCCATCCCACTGATGTCCGGAACCGTGAACCGTCATGCCAGGAAGCAGGAGAGCATGACTGAGCCTCTGGGTCTGGACTGAGAACAGGTGCCACACCTTTGCTACACAGGTCCAGCCCCTGGAGCTCCCGCCCCATCCTGCCTGGGTCCATCTACAGGGGGCCCTGCCCAGGACCAAGCTCCGGACAGCCTTCCACTGTTGGTGGGGGTCTCCCATGGGAGTCTCAGGCTGTCCCGGTCCAGAGGGGCAGCAGGCACAGGGCGGCAGGCCCAGACTGACACCGGAGGCCAAGACTGATTCCCCAGACTGATCCCAGGCCCCCCAGCCAGCCCACGGGACTGGGAGCAGGTCACCATACCGCTCCATGCCTCAGTTTCCCCACCTGCAATATGGGACCATTTGGAAGCTCTGAACAGAATGGAGCTGGGACTGGGACACCCTCTGTGGTAAACTGTGAAGTGCTGGGCACACCCTGGTCCCACACTGGGTTACAGGCCAGTGAGCTCCTTACCACCAGCCCCCTTTGGTATGTGGCCCTGGGGGCTCCGTACCCCAAGGCCAGTGACGGATGGTCAGGGTCAGGATGCAGAGGGAGGGGGAAAAGCTTATTCAACCTGCCCCATTGTCTTTGCTGACCTTTGGCCCCAGGCCTGACTGGGTTTAGGAAAAGCTGCCTTATTAGCATCCTGCCCAGGAGCTGCTGAGCCGGGAGGCCCCTCATAAAAGACCTATTCAGGGCCAGAGGCCCAGACCACCCTCGCTCCATCCTCCCTTTAAACCAACAAAAACACAAGCAGGAGGACAAACCCATCTTATTTTGAGAAGCTCAAATTTTTAATCCAAACTTTTAAAAGTAAACAGGGCCCACACAAAGGCTGCTGGAGGCCCCGGTTTCTGTGGGTTAGCTAAAGGGGAGTGGACCCCGTGGTGTGATGGGGGGACTGGGACAGATGTGAATGGGGACGTGGGGGGGAAGGGAGAAAGAAGGTGGGACACGCAGGATGGGGAGGGGGAGGGGAGAATTGTTGAAAGTACTTTTGTTTGGAAATTGCATCAGCTCAAAGTGGCAAACCTGACCTTCTGATGTTTGGGGTTCGCCTGCCTCAGTTTGCCCCACCGGATTAGAGTAAAGAGCATCCCAGTCCAGACTTTAGTCAGCCCAGCCCAGACCTCCATCAAAACAAAACAAAACAAAACAACCCAGAGAAAGGCCTATTTGCATCCCCATTCACAGGCCCACCAGGCCCAGCCCCAGCCAGGGACGGCATACCGATGGGCCACCACCCACCACAGCTGCTTAGGGCCCTTACAGCATCCTGAAGGGCTGCAGGTACCCTGCAGCTTCCGAGACAGGATTACAGGGCCACTGCTCCCCAGCACATCCGCAAGTGCCACCAGACACCGGCTCAGTCGCAGACACTCAAGCGAGCTGTCTGTCTAAACAGCAAACAGAGTTTCAAAGAGAACACCGATGTCTATCTGGCAAACCCCCAACAGGTCCCTCTCTTTTTCATGAGGAGCCTTGGAAGAAGGATGCACGGCAAGGATGCTGACAACCGTCGAGGCTGCTGACAACTGTCGAGGCCCACTGTGTGCAGGGATAAAGGGGGTACTCTGGGTTTTGCCCCACTCTACAGAAGAGCAGAAAGGGGCTCAGGGCAGTTACGTAACTGGCCAAAGAGAAGAGGGAAGAGTGTAGACTTGAACACGAGACAGTCTGAGCCCTCTGGGTAACGGGGTTATCAGCCATCTGCTCAGTGGTCACCGATAAGGAAGTGACACTTCCCAGGACAGGAGAAGGAGGGCAAACGTGGGTCAGGAACCAAGAATAGGGAGTCAGCAGTGTCTGCTGATGAATATTATCGGCCACAATGACAGCGGGCTGCTGGAGAGGCAAGCCAGCCCACGGGTCTGGGCAGGAGAGGACCCCCAGGGCACCACCCAGGCAGCTGGGACTGAGACACCTGAATCTCAGTTGCTTTCCCAGGAAACGCTCAGAACCTCTCTGAGCCTCCACGTGCTTGGCTTTAAAATGGGGATAAGGGCCCGAGGCACAACCCTGGTATCCGACTCCTTTCGCCACCACCCAGACTGAGGCCTGTTACCTGCCTCCACCTCTGGCTCGCTCTCCGCTCAAAACTACAAGTCCAAGTACAGAAAAGTGTTTTCTAAGAGATGGGCCTTTCCTTGTTTCCAGGCATCCTACTCATATTGTTGGAGAACAACTCAAGGCCACGCCTGACTTTATGAGACAAAACTAAACAACAGCGATGCCACCTATACCTGAAATTCATGATGAGAATATGAATGTTCATGTCACCCCAACATAAAGCTTTGCCACCACAAAATCTGTGGCAGTCCTGTTCCGAGTGTGCATGGGACTGGTGGCAGCATGGGTTCTGCAGGAAACCCTACAGCTCCACCCGTCCCGCCCTCCCCCAGTGGGGTGGGAACCTCACTCCTGCTCTGTTCACTGAGGCAGCAAAACGCTGAGCCAGACAGGGTCCGCGTCTCCTTGTCCAAAACATGACAGAACTTCTCAGCAAATGTGCTCTGACACTCTGGGGCTTCAGTGCCCTGCTGAGAATCGCCCTCGCCAAGTGTCATTGATGACGCAGCTGAAAACCAGAAACGTTTCATTTCCTAGCCACAGGCAGGACTGCAGCAACCCCCCGCCTCGTACTGCACTCGGGCAAACCGAGGCCCAGAAATCTGACCCTCCCAAGGCCCCCAAGAAGCCGAGGCCGGAGAGGCTGGGCCTGGGACTCCTCACTTCCCAGATGGTGCAACTTTAACATATTAAACCTCCTAACGCTCAGCTACTCCCACTGGCCTTAAGGAGACTGCTGGTGGGAGGTGGGGTGGATACAGAGTTACCGAGAGAAACCCAAGTTGTAGCCTTAGATTGCTAATCAGTAACAAAATATCCCTCTAAACCTAGTCCTGCCCTGAACTCACAGGCTGGGAAGGTAAACGAAGGAAAAACGGTGCTGGGCTATCACCCCACCTCCCGGGGTCCAGTTCCCACCCCAGCCCGCCCCCCCCAAGGCACCTGCGAGGCCACTTGGCCACAAAACCAAAAAGAGAGCACCCTGTCCCCACCCCACCCCCCCTCCAGGCTGTCACTCTGGGGAGGAACAGTCACTTAAAGCCTAGATACACTTTCTCTGAACTAGGAGAGCCTTTAAGGAGAACCAGAAAGGGCTGTTTAATCTCCACCTTCAGGCCAAGAGTTCAGGCAGCAGCAAATGCCACCAGAAGTAGGAGCCAAGCCACTGAAAAATGTGGAAGGACAGGGAGGTGGGAGAGGAGACAGGCAGCAGGCAGAACCACTGATCAGAGGGCTGGGGATGGGGGCCGGCTGCTCCGCTCCTACAGAGCCCTCTGCCTTGGGCCCGACAGTCACACAGGCGTGGAAGACAGTAGCTGAGCTTTCCTGAGGCCAAAGGTCCTCCCACCCACACCCTGGCCACCGCAGACGACTGTGGCACTTCCTGTAAGGTGACCAACAGTTTACAAACCCTTCAGAAGCTTTTATCTCCACCTCAAATCCAGGAGGTAGGGATTATTGGCTCCATTCTACAGATAAGAAAACCGAGGCCTGCAGAGACAAAAAGCCAGGATTCATTCCAAGCCCGCATTCCTCTGGAAAGTTTTAGAGCCTGAGTTGAGAAAGGTCCCTGAGCCCTGAGAAAGGCAGGACTAACAACAACCGAGGAAGGCTCTTAGCCCCGGGTACTCTGGCCCACCTGCCTCTGATCCTTCCCAGCGGGCAGGCAGCAGGGAGGTCAGGTGGAATTCCAGCCCCAGCACACAGGTGAACACTGCTTAGATTTGGGGCTGCCTGTTGCTCCAGATAAGAGAGGGAATTTCACTTTCCCTCAAAGGGCCTTTCTTTCTTTCTTTTCCATTAAAAACCTCCCGCTCCCGGACAACGGTTTCCAGGCAGGGATGCGGTGCCTCCGGCCAGCCCTACAGTGCCAGACTGATACTGATAAACTCCGCAGGAGAGAAACTTTTCTGGGGTCTGGCGGCCCCCGGCCCGCTGCGTATTCAGAGGGGCAGGGGCACGCCTCCATCACTTAACCTGAAAATTACCACCCAAAGCCCCACTGCGGGTGGGCTCGGGAGCCTCTGGATGCCAGCTGGAGGAGGGGTCTGGAGTGGCGGCCGCCCGCGGGGGAAGGGACTCTGGGCCCGAGACCCGCGCCGCCAGGCAGGTGCCGTCCTTACCGTGCAGGCCGTTGGGGATGCTTCGGTGGTGCGGTGGCGCCGACAGGTCGTCCAGGGACCTGCGTGTTGCGACAGCCTTGCCGTCCGGGGCCTTGTGCGGCCCGGGGGGCAGCAGCGGGGGCGGGACGTGGTGGTGGTGGTCGGGGCTGCCGCCGCTGCCGGCGCTCGACGTGCTGCTGCCGTCGCCCACGTCGCGGGTCCCCGCTCCGGCCGCGCCGCCCGCCAGCGGCCCGCTCAGGCTGGCCTGGCTGTCGATGGAGCTACGGGAGCCGGCGCCACCACCACCACCGCCGCCGCCACCGCCGCCGCCACCCGCGCCCCCCGCCAGCGCCGCGCGCTCCTCGTCCAGCAGCAGCACCAGCTCCTTGAGCTCCAGGTTCTCACGCAGCAGGGCCTCCTGGCGCGCCTCGAGCTCGCGCAGCTTCTGCTGCGAGCGGGCCACCTCGTGCCACACGGCGCCGGCCGCGTGGCGCCCGAAGCGCTGCCACTCGCGCGCCAGCTTGCGCCCCTTCTGCCGGTCGTCGTCGAGGAAGCAGCAGAGCTCGCGCAGTTCCTGGTTGTCGTCCTGCAGCCGCTGGTTCACGTCCTTGAGGCCGCGGATCTCCAGCAGGTGCTGCTGCAGCCGCCGGTTCACGTCGCGCATCAGACCGCCGTGCTCCAGCATGAGGCCCACCTTCTCGCCCTCGGCGCGCCGCAGCCGCCGCGCCAGCTCCTCCTTGCTCCAGCGCAGCAGCTCCTCGTCCGGCACCTGGCTCAGCTCCTCCGACGACGCCGCCGCCGCCGCCGCCGCTGCCGCCGGGGGCTTCGCCATGGCGGGGCCGTCACCGCGGCATCGCCCGCGCCCTCGCCCGGCCGGCGCTCCCCGTGCCGGGGCTGCGCTGGGCCGGTCCGCCCGCGGGCGGGGGGCGACCAGGGGCTCGTGCGGCCTGCCCCGCGCCGCCTCGCGCGCCCTCACGCAGCGCCCTCCCGGGCCGCCCGGGAATCCGCGTGTCTCGAGGCTCAGCGAGCTGGGACCGCTGCTGCGTCGGCGGCTGCAGTGCCGGGCGCTCTCCGGGCTTAGGCGAAGCAAGCGGAGGCCCGCCCCCGGCCCAGCTCCGGAGCCCCAGCCGCCCCGCCCACTCCGGGCGGGGAGGGGTGGGGCGCCGCGGCCCGGCCCCGCCTCCGGGGAAGGGAGCGGGCAAGGCACGGCCGGCCCCCACGTCCCTCCGCGCCGTGCGCCCGCCCGCCCGGGGCCCTGCCACAGGCGCCCTCGAGCCGTGGTCCCGCCCCCAGCCCGTCCGATTGGGCCTCTCCGGGGGTGTGCGGGAGGGGCGGGGCGCAAGCGGGGGACGCCGCGGAGATGGTACAGTCCACTGGCGGTTCAAGTTTCTGCGCCGGGAGGACGCGGCCTCGGCCAATCCCAGGGCTACAGGGCGCTTTTAAAATGCAGGTACGGCTGCAAGGAGGGGGAAGGTGGGAAAGGTAGGGCAGGGCTTCCCTTAAAGGAGACGCGCGGAAATGGTCGCCCAGCCCCTTCCTGGGCCCGCGTGCCCCGCCCGGCCTCCCCCGCCCCAAATAAACAAATACCCAAGATCCGAAGGGCAGCTCCCCTTCTCCCTCCCGGGGGCACCAGAGTCCAGCTTAGTGTGAGATACGACGGACAATAGGACTCCGACACGGGGGTCGCTCTCCCCGGCGGCAGAGCGGCTCTTTGTCCCCTTCCCTGCCCCCGGCTCCTCCGCCCCCATTTCCACCCCCGTCCCCTGCCGGAGCGCGCCGAGGTTGCGGCGTTCCATTCCAGCCCCGGGTTGCGCACCGGGAAGGCCATGGCCTCGCCAACCGTCCCGGAGCACGGTCCGTACCCTCTTCCCTGCCAGGAGAGGGCGAGGGCGCCGGGGACATGCACCGTTCCCCCGCCAACCCGACCGCTCGTCCCGGAATTCGGGAGAGAATCTGTGATTCACGACGTGGAGACCACTGGGGAAGGTGGAAGATGGTCTCCCACTGGGGTCTTAACTGTGGGGGCGCCGAGTCGGCGGCGAAAAGCCTTCCCCACCGCAGCCTGGCCCGGCACCCGGGTCCTCCCACTGTCTGTGTGAGTCCGTCTCGTTTATCCTCGCGTCCCTGAAGTGCATTTACTGCGCGTCTGCTGCCAGCCGGCCAGAGGTGGGCGTCCCTCCCCCGGGACCCGCAACGAGATAAAATCCGCGCACTCGACCGTGAGCGCCACGGCCTGGCGCGCGCGCCCGCGCAACAGCTGATGTCCCCATTTACAGCTGTTCAGCCATTCATTGGACAACTGTGTACAGCCCCTACTGTAAGCCAGGCCTCTTCTAGACCACTGGGGGATTCTGTAGGGGACAACGGCAGAGGCCACTGCCCTCTGGGGGGGAGGACTTTGCACCCTGCGGGGAGGAGGGGAGAGACGATAATAAACAAACTAGATAGCTATGAGTCTGTAATAAGTGCTGTGCAGGGGATTAAGACAAGCTGATGTCACAGAAGGTGATTATCAGTTACTTTAGATCCCGTGGTCAGGGAGGACCTCTGAGGAGGTGCGTCTAAGCTGATATCTGAGTGACAAGAAGGACAAAGATAAGGGGGAAGGGCACTCCAGGTGAAGGGAACAGCTAGTGCAGAGGCCCGAGGGTTGGCCTGTTAGTGGCCTATTCAAAGAAGGCCAGTGGGGCTGGGAGGGGGCTCGGGAAGAAGAGTGAGAGATGAGGTCAGAGGGGCCAGATCATCCATGATTCTAAGGCAGCTGGGAAAGCAGTGGGGGGTTAGCAGGATGCAATATGACCTGATTTGCCTTTTAAGAGACTCACTCTGGCCCATGTGTGGAGAAGGGATGGGGGTGGGGGGCGTTGCAGAGAGGTCCAGATTCAGGACCTCATTCCCCACCCTTCTCCCCCTCTCTCCATATAGATGTTCAGGGAGAGGATGTGCCAGGCAGAGCATAGCTTTGAGGGTCAAGCTCCAGGGTAGCTGAGGTTCCCCCAGGCAGGTGAGCCTGCTGGGGGTCACCCTCCCCACTGGGGCACTGTGCTTCGAGGACCCAGCTCAGGGCATCTGAGTTTGAGTTTGAGGAGAGAAAGGGTTCCAGCTCCCGCTTGGGAAGGGTACAGGTCTTTCTTACCCCAAAAGGCCAACCAGATTAAATAACTCACTGGAGGCTCTCCCCAGAACAAAGCCTGAGCTGGGAGAGTGAGGGGTGAGCACAGGACACATGGGCTCACTAGGGAAGTTGCTGAGATGGTTAACACTGCTTGTGGGAACCGCCACCCCAACTTTGTGTGTGGCCCCAGGTGGTTCCCATGGCCTGCATCTCTGCCCTCTGATCCTGCAGAGCTGGCAGCTTCAGCTGAACTCTCCAAGAGAAAAAAAAAAAAGCTTCCATCTAGACGGGGCTTGCTTGCATCATCTACAGACTGTGGGACCATGGGTCCCCCTCACCAAGACTCAGGAGAGCATCCCTAACATCCCCCTGGTGCAGCAAAGACAAGGTGCTAGAGATGAGGCTCCTGGGTGGTGGTCCCAGGGACAGTCTTTGCTCTCCGCACCATGGCTGGACAGGCTGGGGCAGAGCAGGATAGACGGCAGGAGATTGAGAGGGTCCAGAGCTAAAAAAGGGTCCTGAAGCAAGGGGAACCATCTAAGCCAGAGCCCCCTCCCTAAGGGTCCTGCAAGAGGTGCCAAGCCCCCTCGAATACTCACCATCCAACAGACCCTGTACCCCGAGCCAGGATCTGAAATGTCAAGTGTCTTTGCTGTTTTAGCTCTGCTTTGTCATGAAATCCGTAAAACCAAATCATGGACCTCTAATACAGTAATTCTCTAGATGCCCAGTAAAAGTAGTTGTGGGTCTTTTAAAAAATAAAGATGCACCACCACTCCCCAATTTTTTTTCTTCTGAATCTCCAGGACTGTGTGTGTCCATTTAAAGCCACACAAATGTTTTTGAGAGCCAGTACACTAATACATAGTAGACAAAATAATTCCCGATCGCAGTGTCTGTGAACCCGGGAAATGGTGAGAGCACACTGGCAGTAAGCAGACTGTCTCCTCACTGAGAGGGGATGGGGCTTTCCTATCTCATCTGTGGCTGGGGCGCTGAACAGAGACCTCAGAGCAGCCATTATTTGCTGTCTGCTGAGTGAATGTGTGACCCTTCAGTACGTGACCAATTGAGTCTGAGCCCCTCATTTTGAAGATGAGGAAACTGAGCCCCAGAAGGGAAATGACTTGCCCAAGGTCACTTTCATTCACTGATTTCCTGAACACACAAGCATAATTAGTTAAGTATTTATGCAAAAATGCATATGTGTATGTGCAATCCCATATGCATTGTGGACGCGTTGTAAGTACCACAGAAGAGCGGGGCAAAACACATCATTGTGGGAGCATCCTAAGGCAGTGGGAGCAGCTTCCTGGAGGAGGTGACCCCCCCACCCCCCGCCCGGTGAATCTTGCAGAGTGAGTAGGAGTTTATCAGATTGTAGATGGGGAAGGTGAGGGTGGGGATAATCCAGGTGGAGGGAACAACAAAGCCAAGGCCTAGAGGTGAGCAATGGTGAGGGGTGTGTGTAGACACAACCATGCCTTATTGCCGGAACATACAGGAGAGGCAGAGAACAGCGGGGAATAGTCACAGAGGAAGTGTGGCCCCCTCCCTGGGGCCCTGATAGCTAACAGCAGCAACAACAGCAATAATAATAACTACCACCTCCTACCACTTACCCAGCACCCAGTGGGTGCCAGGGATTCTAAACCAGCCCTCACGTGATGATCAGAATGGTGGTGTCATTAGCTCTTCAGGATTTAACGTGGATTCCTGTTGGCTGCTCAGACCACTGTGTGTGAACTTACGGGCAGTGTTCAGAGGCTGCTGGACGCTCAAGGGCTCTGGTGTGGCCAGTGGAGCTTTGCGTGGTGGCTGACTATTTCTGCAGGTCAGCAAGGCAGTGGCAGCTGACCAGGTCTGGGGCTGGGCTCTGGGGTTTCTTCCCTGCACCCCACCTCAGGGAGGATCCTGAACGGGGGAAGTCACCATGCACAGAGGAGGGGCTATGATGAAAAATCAGGGCTCATGGAAAAGCAACTGTCATTATTATTAATAAAGGATAGTGTTGGTTGAGCACTTTTTTTTTTTTTTTTGCCACGTGACTTGCGGGATCTCAGTTCCCCGACCAGGGATTGAGCCCCAGGGCCACAGCAGTGAAAGCCCAGAATCCTAACCACTAGGCCACCAGGGAACTCGCAGTTGAGCACTTTTTATGTATCTACCCAGCACTGTGCTAACGCTTTACAAGGATTGTCGTTGAGCCCTCGCTGCAGTCCTGTGAGTTAGGAGCCTCTATCCCCATTTTACAAAGGGGCAAACTGAGGCTCATAGGTTAAGTCACTTGTCCAAAGTCACACAGCAAGCAAGTGAATGAGCTGGGATTGAAACCCACGACCATCTCGGCCCAAGAGTGCACCTTACCCCATAGACTACAGCCTCCTGTACTGCAATTGCTCTGTGACATCCCTTTCACTGTGACTCTGGTTCTACAATGTGGAGGCCTACGCTGTGCCCAGACCATGTCCATCACCCAGCTTCCTCCTACTTCAGCCTTCCACATTGTCACCAAGCCAGAGAGACTCCCCGAGCCTCTGGATGGACCACTGGGAAGAGCTTTCCAGCTCTTCCTGCTGACAGATCAGTCACTGCATGTTGTTAGCTCCATCTCACAGCTCCTCCCTCACCAACTTGCTGGTGACCCTAGGCCAGTTCCTTAACCTCTCTGAGCCACAGTTTTCTCATACGAGCCTTCCTCCACAAGGGCCAGTGTCAAGCAGCTAGCAGGGCTCTTGCCCAGCTCTGGAGAGATGCACGTGCCTCCCTTCCCTGTGCGTTCTCCCCACCCTCTGGATCAGGACAGTCTTCCCATAATGTACATTGAAATTGCACCCATTTTCCAGATGCAAACCCTGAGGTACATTGAAACAAGGGCTCTCCTGGAAGCCTAGTGCTTGCCCCTGGCAAACGGGACTACAAAGGATGCGGGCTATGGCCCTGGGCTGCCACCAGCTTCCTTCTGGGAT